GAAGCTGTGGGACTATAACAGAAGATCTAACATTCATGCCACTGACGTCTCAAAAAGGAGAGGAGAAAGATGGCAGGACTGATAAAGTATTACAGGAAATAATGGCTGAAATTCCCCAAATTTGGCAAAAAGATATATATTTTTTATATTCAAGAGGATGAGTGAACACCAAACAGGATAAACTGGAAGGAAAAAAAAAACTACGTCAAGATACACAGCAGTCAAACTAAAATACATAGAAAACTAAAAAACAAAGAAAAAAATCTTGAGAATAGCCAGAGAGAAACAGCACATTACCAGCAAAGGAAAACCAATATGAATGACAGATTTCTTATAAAAAACCAGGAAGCCAGATGAAAGTGGTGTATTTTTCTTTCTTATCTTGTCTTTTTTTTTTTAAAAGAACTGTCAACCAAAAATTCTATATGCAGTGAAAATATCCTTCAGGAATGAAGAAAAAAATTAAGATATCTTTAGATGAAGAAAAATTAAGAGACTGGATCACCAATAGACCTACCCTAAAAGAAAAAGAGGAAATTCTCTAAACATAAAGACAGTGATAGAGGAGGAATTTTGAAACAACAGGAAGGAAAAAGAATACAGAAAGAGCAAAAATATGGGTAAATAGAATTTTCTTTTAAAAATTTTGTTAACTTTAAATGGTTGAAGCAAAAATTATAACAGTTTGATGTGGTTCTCAAGGTACCTAGAGGAAACATTTATAACAATTATATTACAAATGGTGGGTGTTAAAGGGATTTTAAAAAAAGGTACAATGTAATATCTAAAGCAACCATTAAAAAAACTATACAAAGAAATACACTATAGATTGAAAAACACTATAGATAAATCAAAATGAAATTCTAAAAAATGTTCAAGTAATCCACAGGAAAAAGAAAACAGAGGGAACAGAAAACAAAACAAAAATAAGATGACAGCTTTAAGCCTAACCTATCAATAATTCCATTAAAAGCAAATGGTAAACTCATAAATAAAAGAGAGAGGTTAGGAGAGTAGATATAAAAAGTGACCCAGTTACATTCTATCCATAAGAAACTCTGGTAATCAAAGGTTAAGGATGGTGATGGGGAAAGGAATAGATTTGAATATAAAGGAGTCATATGAGGGAGATCTTTATGGTGATAGAATAGTTCTATATCTCAACTGTGGTGGTGGTTACACAGATCTATATATGTGATGAAATGATACAGAATACACCACACAGTGTACAATGCCCATTTCCTGGTTTCTATATTGTATTATAATTATGTAAGATGTAACCACTGAAGGAAATTGAGTGCAGAGTACGCAGAACAGAGCCCTGGCCAGATGGCTCAGTTGGTTGGAGTATCGTCCTGTACACCAATTGTTGCAGGTTTAATCTCCAGTCAGGGCTCATGGGAGAGGCAGCTGATCCATGTTTCTCTCATATCAATACTTCTCTCTCTCTCTCTCTCTCTCTCTCTCTCTCTCTCTCTCTCTCCCCCTTTCCCTCCCATTCCTCTCTAAAAATTAATCCTTATCCTTGGGTAAGGATTAAAAAACAACACTACAGCGGTAGAAATCAGCGTATAGAAAACAGGGACTGAATACATTTCTGAATAATGCTTTTTGGTATAGTTCTGACTTGAAATCATGCTAATATTCTACATATTCAAAAAGTAAAAGTAAACCAACAAGGATGGGGGGAAACAACATTAAACTGAATGCAAAAAAACAAACCAAACCAACTACCTGTGTTTCAAATGTATAACATAATCAAACTGAGCACAGGAGTATGCTTCACTATATGCTGTCAGTCTAGGTCAGTGATTGCAAACCTATGACACATGTGTCAGAGGTGACACGCAAACTCATTTTTTTGGTTGATTTTTCTTTGTTAGATAGCACTTAAATATCCTATCTAATAAAAGAGAAACATAGTAATTAGCCGTACATCCGCTACCCTTCCCATTGGCTAATCAGGGCGATATGCAAATTAACTGCCAGA